GTTGAGTTAAATCAATTAATAGTTTAGTCTCAAATTTCTACCGCTATATTTTCGCATAGGGAAACACGAGTGAAACGTGAGGCGTTTATGTGATTGATTTTGGTTCTGCGTTCGTGTTGAATCTTGAACAAAATCTGAACATAATCACATTTTTTTTTCTAATTTTGTAGGGTTGGGAAACATTGTGCTTGTGAGATTTGAGTGAGTTATACAAGGTTAAGGATGAACGGAAAAGGTAGTTTGAGTATCAAACTTCCTGTTTTTGATGGCAAGAACTGGAACAAATGGATGATTCAGATGCGCATGCTATTTGGTACTCAAGATGCGCTTGAGCTTGTTACCAATGGCTATGTTCCGGTTGCAGCAGATGTGACATAAGAAAAGAGAAATGAACAGAGAGACAAGAGGAAGAAAGATCAGAAAGCGTTGTTCTACATCCATCAGTGTGTGGATATGAATGTGTTTGAGAAGATTATTGATTCGACGACAACGAAAGAGGCATGAGACACACCAGTCAGATGCTATGGTGGTGACACATCAGTGAATAAGGTAAAGCTTCAGTCCTTGCGAAAGCAATATGAGAATCTCAACATGAAGAACAATGAGAAGGTTTTTGAGTACATCTCTAGAGTGATTCTGATTACTAATAAGATGAAGGCTTGTGGAGAAACCCTTTCTAAACAAGTAATCATTGAGAAGATATTAAGGTCACTTATTCCTCAATTTGATTATATTGTTGTAGCAATTGAACATTCTAAAGATTTGGAAACCATGAGAATAGAAGAGTTGCAAAGCAGTCTAAAGGCGCATGAGTTGCGTCTGACTGAAAGAACTTCTAAGAGGGAAGTTGAGCAGACTCTAAAGGCTTCTTTTGTCAAGAAGGACCAGAAGCATTCTTGGTCAGAAACCAAGAATAGATGTGGTGATAGATTCCAGAAGTCAGAAACTTCTACTTCTGAAGAGAGTAAACCTCAGAAGGGTAAGAAGAAGTTTGACAAGAAGAAGATTCAATGTTATTGTTGTAAGAAGTTTGGCCATTTTGCTAAATATTATTGGTCAAATAAGGGAAGAAGATAAGAAGAAGCAAATATATCCAAAAGAGATTTTGATGATAAACATGTGATATTGATGTCTTCTGAGTCTGATGGAAAGTGTTTGGCAGACTGGTGGTATATGGTCTCAAACCCCAAAGTCACAGCTTTTTTCACTTCTCCATATTTAGCACTAATAATTTGTTTCCATATAGTTCCCTCTTCGTTGAGAATCCCCCACTTCCATTTACAAAGAAGAGTCTTGTTAAAAAATTCAATATGTTTTATGCCAAGACCACCCTCCTCTTTCGACTTACACGTGTTATTCCAATTAACCCAACTGATACATTTTTTATCCTCGTTCCAACTCCATAAAAATATGCTTTGAATTCGGATAATCTCTTTGATAACCTTAATCGGAGTTCTGTAGAAATACATATTGTATATAGGAATGCTAGATAGTACCGAATTCAAAAGAGTAACCATTCCCCCTATGGAGAGAAACGTCGCCTTCCAATTTGACAATTTTTCTTGAGACTGTTTAAAACCGGGTTCCAAGACTCTCACCTTCTTGGGTTGGAACCTACTAAAATATCCATATATTTAAATGGAAGAACATCCATGCAGCAACACATAAATTGAGATGCATTATCCATGAAGTCTTCCTTTAAATTCACTCCAGCGATTTTACTCTTGAAGAAATTGCCTTCAAGCCTGAAATGAGTTCGAAACCCCTAAAAATTACTTTAATGCTCCTTAAATTATTCCAGCAGCCCCTCCCCACAATAATTGTGTTGTTTGCAAATTGTAGAATTTTGATATCCACATTATCGCTAATTTTGTACCCCTCAAAATAGCCAATGCCAGCTGCTTCGGTAACCATCCCAGGCAATATTTTCGCCACCAAGTGAAAAGAAAGGGTGACAAAGGATCTCCCTGTCTAAGTCCCCTCTCCGCCCATAAGTCTTGAGTTAGACTCCCGTTGACAAGAATTGACATAGAATTGTTAAAAATACATACTTCTATCCGTTTGCACCAAATACTACCAAAACCAAATTTCTGAAATAGTATTCTCAAAAAATCTCAGCTCACGCAATCATATGCCTGTTGGAAATCCGCCTTGAAAATGAAGCACTCTTTCTTTTCCTTTGTTGTATGATCTATAATTTCATTTAGCGCGAGAACCCCATCCAAAATTTGTCTTCCAAGAACGAAGGCGGATTGAGAAGGGGAAATAATTTCTAACAAAACCTTCTTAATTCTATTTGCCAAGATTTTATAAATAATCTTGTATAAACAGCCCACCAAACAAATTGGTTGGTACTCGTGTAGACCCTGAGGGTTGAAGTTTTTGGGAATTAAGGCTAAGATTGACGCGGTTATGACTTTTGGTAACGTAGTTGTCTTGTGGAATTCCCATACAAACTTGACAATATCTTCCTCTAAGATACACCAGCATTCCTGTAGGCACCTGAAATTGAACCCATCGGGTCCGGGACTTTTCTCACCATTAGTTGCCCACACATCCACCCTAATTTCCTCATGGGTGAAATCAGAAACTAAAAAAATATTATCTTCTGAAGTGATGCATTTAACCTACAGCCTACTGAATAAAGGTCGCACCTTGATAGGTTCCACAAATGGTTTTTAAACACTCTCAAAATCTCGCTACGAATCCCTGTACATCTTCAATTATAATACCTTCATTGTTTTGGACCGACACGATGGTGTTTCTCCATCTCCTATCTTTGATTACCGCATGAAAATATTTAGTGTTCATATCAGCCCCCTTAGCCAGCTTTGTCTGGATTTCTTTCTTAACAGATTCTCTTTAAGACACAAATGTTTCCAAAACTCTTCCACAGCCGTCTTCCTGGTATCAAAACGGCAATCATTATCCATTCCATACTTTCGTTACCCCATAAGTTTGAGACAAACGAATCGTTCACATTCAAAAAAATTATTTCCTGAATGCCACATCCACGTATGTTAAAAGACATAATATTCATTTCAATATCAATCATTTCATCATCAAAATAAAGTAGTTTATCATCATAAAAAAAATAGAAAGAGTGTTAACCAAAGTTGGTTTAAAGAACAATAATTAGTTTGATTTTTATGATAACACACTATAAAAGAAAAATTTTATTTTCTAATAATTGTTATATGTGTAGAAATAAATGTATTCATGAATAGAATAATTTTATTTTTATGATAACACAGTGTAAGAGAACAAAGAACAATTTCATTTTCTAATGTTGTATGTGATAATTTATTATAAGTTTTAGGAGTTTAATTCAATTTTTTAAAACCAATAAATGTATTCATAAATATCAAAAACAAACTCTTAAGAATTAACATATAAATAAAAGTACAAATGAATTGAAAAGTGTCCACCATTCTTCAATTGTTTTGAAACGGGTCTTGGTTAGTCTAGGAATATTAACACAGAAATATTTCAAAAATCGTACAAATGATTTTATTTATATAACAAATTTAAATGATTTATTATTATTATTATTATTATTTAAATAATAATACACAATTTAAAAAAAAAATCATAAATTATGAAGAATACACAATACGTGGTGGTATAAAGGAAATGTGTTGTTATCTTGAATTGATCTTATGTGTGAGTTCAATCATAAAACATATTAGTCTAACTCTAAAGTATTAGAAGAAGCAAAAAGATATCCTACAAGCAAAAAAATATCTTACTTTAAAATATATTAAGGTCTGGTTCTTAAAAATAATGGTTGACCGATAAGTTAGTTGATACTTTATAATTAATAGTTGATGGCGGATGACTAATAATTTATAGTTTAAAGTCGATAATTGAGATTGATAACTAATAAGTTAATTGAAGTGTTTAGTAAAATTAGCGATGAGATTAACTTATAAATATAAAATGACTTAAAAAATATTTAATATATAATTATTTTATTTTGAATTAAAATAAATTATAGAAGATAAAATGAGTTTTTATTAAAATAATAAGAATAAAAAAGAAAGAAAAAAATAATAAACTATAAATTATAAATTAAAATGCTATTTGAAATAGTATCTAAAAAATAAATTATAAACTGATAAAATAAATTATAAATTCATTATAAAAAACTGTTACCAAACAAATCTAAAATATTATATGAACTTATAAACTATAAATTATAAAACATATGCTCATATAAGTCGGTCTTCTCAAACATACCCATCATCAAATTTTACCATATCTTTTGGGAGAGTATGGCATACGTTAGTTGAAATAAATAAGTGTAAACTATTGATCAATGCTTTAATATCTTAGAGCATTATTTCTTTGTAAAAAATCTGTTAATTAGTTCAAAATAGGATGCAAGTATAAAAAGGATGCACTTTTGAAAACATCAATGGAAGGCTAAAGGTTCACCATAATTGCATTGTTAATACTAATTTAAATCATGCATGAAGCATTTTCATTGGCCAAATAGATTAGGGTTAGGTTAAATGATTATAGGGTTAGGTTAAATGGTTGGACAACTACTAGTATCTTAGACTTATATATAATAGATTATGTATTCACTTATAAAATGTGAGATCATCAGTGTTAATTGATATTATTCAAAATTAAATGAGATACATCAACTCTGCTTTAGAATAGTGTTTGTATTAATTTTATTTGAACACGTTTTTACAACAAAGTACTAAAAATTATAAATCATTTGTATGCATCGTATTCACTGTAAATCACATCTCAGCGTGTAGGAAAATGCTGTTACAAATATAATAATCACTAAATTTAGGATTTATAACCTATTCTTGGCTCATATTCTAAGGGCGTGGTTTGTTACATTTATAAAAAATTTTACACATGGAGCATCAAATTTCCACTTTACATAAATGATTTGCCGAACAGTGGATAAAGAGAAGCCTTCCAAGTTGTTCCTTCTCGTTTAATAAGTTGGAATTCAATTATATGCACCAACTGCTGCTTTAGGAACTAGCACTTGTTGATGGCTCAACTGTGCCAACTGGATCTGGGTTGGTATCGGTCAGAGCACGTGCATTCCGTTTTCCTGATTTCTGATTCTCCATTTTTTCCTGATCTTGCTTTAGCAGCACAGGTTTAAACTGCCAAAAGTTCAAATGTAATAAAGAAAAGGACTATAGTACCAAATGACAAATGTGAGTATTGTATGCAACCACAAAAATTATAAAAGTGGTAAGAGGGAAAACACGGGATGATTATAGATCAGTGCAAACCTGATATATAGAATATATAACATTTCTTCTTATTTGTGCCATCATCTCCAAGAAAAGGTTATAACCCTCAAGCTTATATTCAATAAGTGGATCCCGTTGTGCATACCCTCGTAAACCCACAGCTTGCTGAACAAATTTTAGTGCTTGTAGATGTTCTTTCCAAAGCCGATCGATATTGCTCAAGATTAGGAACCGCTCTGCTTCTTTCATCAAACCTGATGCTTGTTGCTCCACAATATCCTACAGAAGTATATTTAGTCATGCAAGGAAAAAACAAATAAAATAAAGGTAAACTAAACTACGATGAGTAAGAGTATTTTTAGACTTGGCACGGAAGATGCTAAAAGTCCAAGCATTTAGGTTTCAAACCAAACCAAGCTTACCAATTATCATAAATCATCTCCAATGACAGACAATTTATAATCGAAAACTTCATAATGGTTTAGTATATAATTTGTTGATAGCTTTCTATCTTTAATTAATGGACTATCCTCAATTTGATCCATACTACTAGGGCTTCTACACAGGTATTATCCATACGTGCTCAGATTCCATATAAGGAAAAAATTAGCTAATAGATTGTAGTGCATCTATAATTTTTCATAAAATATTGATCTTTGATACCTAAAAATAAATTAAAAATACAGCCAAGTTTTTTAAGTGACTGTCTACTGACCCTTTTTTGCAGATAAGCTTCTTTACCACGGAGACGAAGATAGCTCCGCAATCCCTCATAATCAGAACACTCATTCCTCAGCAAATCAGGGGTCAGATCATTCAACAAGTAGCAATATCTGAATACAAACCAAATATCTTCTGTCAACAAAATTGTTAGATCCCAAATTAGCGGAAAACATCCACTAGTTATTTGCCAAGTATTCGATAAAAATAATCTACTTTATTAAATGCAAAACATGATTTTTTTACTAAGTACTTCAATAATGTAAATCAATAAAGTTGACAGTTCTCTAGGTTGGCCTGTTGCTACTAGTAAGTTAACATTTGTAACTGTTGTTCCATGAAACCAGCACTAGTTTGGTCTTCTCTATGAAAACCACCTAGTTTTTGCAAGCCTGTTTGGTAGACATCAAGGAGTCTGAAAATAAAAATCACTGGCGCATAGTTGAAGAGGCTGGTTGACTTGTCAAGATATTAAAAGTGTATGCTTAACAAGAATACAGACACCATGCATGAATCACCGCATGATTATACAAAAGAAGGCATCAAACACAGAATCAAAAGATTTCACTTACTGCTGAATTTTTGCAATTAGTTTATCAAGATCCCAGCTGTCTTTTGGAGCATCAGAACCAATATTGGCCTAATTCATCACAGAAATATATTTTTGCATTACATGACAAAGCAAGGTATATAGAGAACCATAATTTTAGCATACACTTACCTCTAAAATGTCATCTATTGTCAATTCAGCATATTCAATAAGAAGAGACTGAAGATTGACAGATTGAAGGGCCCGTCTTCTCTCTGTATAAACTCGATCTCTTTGGCTATTAAGTACTTCATCATACTCAAACAATTGCTTCCGAATGTCAAAGAAATAGTTCTCCACTTTCTTTTGGGCTTCATCTAATGCTTTGGTCAACATCTGGGACTCGATAGGTAGGTCTTCCACTCTAAAAGCCCGCATTAAGCCCTGCATATCACAATATTAAGTTACTAACCATGTTTTAGGTAACCAAATTATAGGTGCAGTGGCAAGACCACAACCACATTACCTGAATTCGGTCTCCACCAAATATCCGAAAAATATTATCTTCAAGACTTAAAAAGAAGCGCGAGCTTCCTGGATCCCCTTGTCTGCCACTTCGGCCACGCAGCTTTAGAAATTTAAGTTCCAAGGTTAAATATTTATTTGGCAATACTACTTTAATGGGAGGGAAGGAGTGGTAAGGGATATGTTAAAGCAAGGAAAAGGGGAGAAGAAAAGAAAACCTGATTATCAATTCGTCGTGATTCATGACGCTCTGTACCCACTACATGTAGTCCACCAGCTGCCACGACCTGCAGTCAAAAAGCTTATAAAAAATATAAACAACAATAGATCATGGAAAGTATTACTCAATTAAACAAATTGACCTTCTTCCTCTCTTCCTCGGTGAAGACTTTATATTCCTTGCTGATTTCAATAAATGCATTTCTCAGCTCGGCAATGACTTCATCTTGGGCAGGGCCCTATATAAAACCCACAATGACAATTTGATATATAAGATTAAAACTCACAAGTATTAAAACGAAGAAGAAAGTGGCACTTTCCTAAATATTTTTAATGGTTATACAAGCCATCAACAGAATGTCACCTTTTCACAGGAATATGATAGGCGCTCTTCTGCTTCCAGCTCAGTTAATGATCTTTTGCCCCATGTTTTAACAGCTAATTGCACGGCCTTCTCGGCCAACTCAGTATTTTGGTTTGATAGTTGGCATGGAAACAGCTTCTCATTCACCTGGATAATGACATGTGGAACTTTAAAATAGTTACTATAAAAACTACGTGCTTCCACATATACAAGCTCTAACGCTAAAACCAAAATTTTATGTTTTAAATTTATGGGTATTTTTGTAATATAATTTGAAAAATGTATTCTTGAATCCAACTTTCTTTCCTTTTCAACCAGGTGTCCAGATATCTCTCCCCTTTCACCATTCTTTCTTCTCTGTTTGCAGAAAGCTTCATCACTTACAACAAAATTCTATATAACTCTTTCATAGTCAAAGATTTTCACTCGTTGTTCAAGTAGAAGTCAGGGTTCAAGTAAAGAAAAAATCCTATGCATTCTGTTCATTATCGCAAACTAATAATGTCAGAGGAAGCAAAAGTACTTTATGTTAGTGCACAAGGTTAGGAACAAAAGGAATGAGAATATATTTATGAGAACAAAAGGAATGACGGTTGTAAAGCTGTAAGAAGGAATTATTTTGGTTACAAATGACAGCTACCACTAGTTTATTTATACACAAAGTAAATTGCCACGTAGGCCCTAACAAAAAATAAACTTAATAACTAAGCAAACTAAATAACTAGAACCCCAAAAGCTAAACATACTTTTGAGCGTAACCTCAGAAGTTTCTGCTTCTGACTAACAACCTCAGAAACTCTACTGCTTCTGACTCTAACAACTTCTGAATATGAATTACTTCCAACACTCTATGGACTTAATGTGTCAGATACTTGTTGTCCATACTTGTTGTCCAGTACTTCCCGGTTTGGCAATTTTATTAACAATGATTCATTCTAACACATTTTTACCAAGCAGGAAGACATCAGCAGTCCCTATACACACACCACCAACTTATTTACATTAGGAAATGTCATCGAAATTAAAAAATAAAAACACCATACCTTCCATGACTTACTGGGAGGAGGCTTCTTCACTGATACAAAATCTCCTTCAGCTACTAGCTTAACAACTCTGCAATCATATGTTCCCAAAAAGAATGTAACACAGTTCTAATAATTGTAGGAATCTAAGCATAGGAGCAACCAGAAAATGCTTTTCCATCAAAGTTGTATCAGTGGCAAATGAATCCTGGAAGCAGTAAGATTGCAGAAGAAAGGAACAATATGCATTGCAATTATCAAAGGTTCTGCCCTCTAAACAAAGCCAACTATCATATATAGAAAGATGACAGATCAGACCTACAATATGAGCATGGAGATTCTTATGCTTACAAAAAAGGCTTTGTGCATATGAACACTACAAACAATAATCACACGAGATGGCTGTTTAAGAAATACGACTGGCCATTTATTCATTAGATAATTTTATTTTATTTCCCATTATCTTCATCGTATTTCTCTATCTGCAACTGCCCTAGGGGATCCAAAGGAGAGTTGATCATTTTGTTAGTGGGCTTCATGGATACTCTAAATATTTTGGTTGGGTCTAACTCAACTTAACATAACCGACTAACTCAACTTTACAAAACCGGCTAGTAAGGTGAGGATTACCCCAACTTATAAACATATGTTTAGGCCACATATTATCTGAAGTAGGACTCTTACTCAACCTTAAAAAACTAGGTTGTAAGGTGAGGATTGCATCACTTTCATGTCACATATGTCCCATGTGGGACTCTTAAGACACCCTCCGATGTGGGACTCTTAACACACCATTTCACGCCCATCAATATTGGACTTGGTGTGTGGATATAAATGGTGGGTGGCCAAACAGATATTGAATATGGCTTTGATACCATCTTAGAATTGGGTTGGGCCTAAATCATCCCTACTTTCAGGCTACATATTGTCCGATGTGGGACTCTTAGCACACCCTCTCATGCCCACCTCTATTGGACTTGGTGCGTAGATATAAATGGTGGGTGGCCCAACAAATATTGAATTGGGCTCCAATACCATATTAGAATTGGGTTTGCCTAACTCACCCCTACAAATCCGATTTGTAAGATGAGGATTGCCCTCGTTATAAACACATGTTTCAGGCCACATATTGTCCGATGTGGGACTCTTAACAGATACCGAATTTAAGGTATTAATTATTATCACATGCCTAAAGAATAGTTGTTTTATAGATAATTTTAGTAGAGTAAATCATTTTAATATCATTAGTTATTGGATCTTGTGCTCTTGAAAGAGAAATATTTTTTTACAAGTATGATAGTTGAATACTGTTGGGTTGGGTCACTCCAATAGAAGTCCAAAATCCTACAAGTGTATTACTGAAGGCCAGAGGAAACAATAGAAATGGGTGCAAATGTATCCCAATTAAAGCTCCACCATACCTCGGCATCAGTATCTCACGAAGCTTCAGTCGTGCCATAAACTCAGCATTTCCGCCAAGGATTATATCCGTCCCACGACCAGCCATATTGGTGGCAATTGTCACTGCCCCAAGACGACCACTTTGTGCTACAATTTCTGCTTCCCTCTCTACATTTTCTGGTTTTGCATTGAGAACCTTAAAACAAAAAATGGTTCTTATATTAAGCTTTATTCTAACGCATCCAAATGGAAGAGCACTATATCAGTTTTAGCAGCGTTTGCGTTTGATCTACCCTACGAATAGGCTGCCCTTTTTTAGAAACAAAAACTACCCGAAACAGGTATCGTGAAGAAAATATTGTATTATCAGATTCTGTCATTTTCCCATTAAGACAATAGAGACTTTACCTCATGTGGAATTCCAGCTTCCTTCAATTGCTGAGACAAAGAATCACTCTGCTCAACGCTAGTGGTGCCAACAAGCACAGGTCGACCAGTTTTATTCATTCTCGAGATTTCCACCACAACCGCGCGCCATTTCCCTGTAGTAGCCCTAAAAACTACATCGGATTCATCCTAGGAGAGAAATTTAAAACGCCATTAGGACTAAGAGAAACATCAAGTAATTTATGAAATAGCTTTATCAGGCAAGACGTGCACTAAATACGTCGTCTAAGATGAAAAAGTAGGGCTTCCAAATTCTACTTTTGATGGAAATAATCTACCACAACTACCTCTTGCAGAACTATGATAACAACTTTTGCATTGTTATTTAACATATAAACGTGATAAAAATATCAATCATCCATCCCATTTTGGAATAGGAATACCAAAACAGTCATCAGTTCATTAAAGTGCTGTATATGAATAACAAGCAATAAGATACCTTTCTTATCATAGGTTTATTTGTAGGCACGATTGTAACTTTAAGCTTGTAAATGCTTTCAAATTCAGTGATTTCTGTTGCTGCAGTGCCAGTCATGCCGCAAAGTTTTGGGAACTGATAAAGCACAGATTTAAAATCATCAAGGTAATTCCACAGCTAATAAAATTCTGAACTGAAGATTTGATTAATCGGTTCAGATAGAACATTTCCAACCTGCAGAAAGAAATTCTGGTAACTAATAGAAGCCAGTGTCACGGTTTCATTTTGAATGGGCAGCCCTTCCTTTGCTTCAACTGCTTGGTGAAGTCCATCACTCCACCTTCTCCCCTATCAGTAGAGAGAAAAGGCACATTAAAATTATGTGTTCCTTGACATACCAACAGAACTTGCCTCTCAGGAAATTAAAGATATTGGCATGGTATTTCTTCATCAAAGATTCATTATTTGTTCTAAAGGTAAAAGTGGTGGGTAATGCAGGTAATAAATAAGGTTTTGGTAAGGGTTACACAAAATCTAGAAGAACCTTCAGTTTCTCTCTTGAACCTTCAGTCCAATTTTAGTGAATTTTAATTATAACTATTTTACGGTATCAATAATGAAAGGAAAATTATTAAATTCTAGAAGAACCGTCACAATTTAGCCAAAGGAGGATGATGAATTCAGCCATAAGAAAATATAAGTATTAGCCATAATATGAAGCAAAGCTTTGCCATATTCTGAATATAGTTCCAGAAAGTGACAATGAATGCAAGCAAAACAATGAGATAACAATTTGTTAGATGATATCAAAAATATATTATAACATCTTGACCAAATCGTACAGCATCTTATCTTATCGCTTAGGATTGACTAAGTTTCTAACCATGTATTTTAAGATTATCTCCTAAAGATAGTTTCTTTATTTCTCAGTTACAATTGTGATTAATTCCCAATTTGATTAAAATTAGGAGTCTAGTATTAACATAAATAAGGGTTCATACTTAATAAGGGTAATATTTGTAACTGTTCAGATTTTTATTATGGGCCACCCGCGCCTGTCCACTTAATAAGGGAAATACTTAATAAGGGTAAATACCTGCATTACTTAATAAGGGTAATATCAAAACATCAAGCTGAATGTCTAAATACCTGCATTACTCGACCAGTAAACTCGTCAACAATTAGGACCTCTTTTCCGCGGATTATGTAGTTTACATCTCGAAGAAAAAGTTCTTTTGCTTTAATTGCATTTATGACAAATGAAGCCCATTGTTCTCGTGGATCGTATAAATCTTTGACAGCTAAAATTTCTTCAGCATCTTCATAGCCCTGTTCAGAAAGTAGAACCGATTTTTGTTTTTCATCCACCTGCAACGAAAATCTTGGTAAGAAGAATAAGATCAAACTAAATTATGTATCTACTCATGTGAGCAGTATAAAACAAGTTATTCACATTACGAAGATTTGAAAACCAGTGACCATTCACGATGCATAAAAATAAAAATAAATAAAAAATTGTGTTTTTAAATTATATCCATTGTGTGTTTTTGGCATCGTATCTTTGATCTATCGATGTTTAAAATCAAACAACCACCCAGCCATCAGTCACAAGTGAATAACAGAACTTCACTAGCATCACCATGCAGACCACATAATGCAAACTAGTTATTTATATATCAAATTTAGTGTTACCAGTTCATCCTACTGCTACATAGCATTTACAAGGTGTATTCACAACTTTTTCATTGTCTCTCATTTGCATTTACATAGGGCTTATCAGATCAAGCTACTTTTTTTTTGTCCATGAGGTGTCCGCTCGGTGGTAAGAGGTTCACAAAATAAATTTGTAATTTCAAGGGACGGAGTTCAAATCCCATCAGGTGCGGATGTAAATGGGTCATTAGTGAGAATAATAGGCTCAAAGGAAGTTGCTAACTAAAATTTCTGACAATTTCTTCTAATCTTAACACAAATTGGCTGGATGGATATACATGAGACATACGTGAATTCTAACGCTTGCAGACCTAAAGCAAAAAACAGACTCCAATTAAGATGCCAATGTTTCTTACCAGGCACAACCTAAAACTGAGCTGAGTGACAAAACAGCAAATATACACATGATAAAGTTAAAACTACATTAACTTTCAAAATAAGCATAGATAGAAGATTTACAGTGTAATGTATATCTCGTTCAAAGGCTTCTGCTATTTTTGCAGCCTTGAAATATTGATCACTGGGTTTCTCTGCAGGTCCTGATATAATGAGTGGAGTTCTAGCTTCATCAATAAGGATTGAATCAACCTCATCAATGACACAGTAATTGAAACCCCTAATGACAAGCTCCTCAACACTCTGCACAATCCATAGTTTGGAGTTCAGTGTAACATTCAAAGAATAGAAATTAAGTATTTACAAAGCATACAATAAATGCAAGGAATATGTAAAGGAAGAATTACTTTCCGTGGCAAGATTGTCTCTTAAGAAATCAAAACCAAGTTCGCTGTTAGTGACATATGTTATGTCACATAAATAATTTTCCTTTCTTTGCTCACTTGTCATATTTTCTGCCAATAAAGTCATAATTTGTTAGAGTGCAAAAAAGGAATGGGTTAAAAATAAAATCTTGATGTATATTAAAGAAGCCCAGTTAATAACAAGAAGATGGAAATACACAAAACAAAAACTCAGAAAAATTTATGCAAGGGTGCATTGGCTTTTATTGAGAAATAAAAAAATTGGCGGATGACATAGAAGCAAAAAAGAAGAATTAAATACAACCAACACCCAAATGAGTAACAAAAAGATAAACATAGATTTGAAACTTGAAAGTATATGGAAACAGAATCTAAACACAAAAAAGAGGAAAGGAAAGAATGAAGTAGGAGACATACGCTGGATGAGGCCAACCTTCATTCCAAGAAAGCGTGGAACTTGACCAACCCATTCACAATCACGGCGAGCAAGATAATCATTAACGGTAACAACATGAACTCCCTTCCCAACTAATGCATTCAAATAAGCTGGCAAAATAGCAACCAAAGTCTTCCCTTCTCCAGTCCTCATTTCCGCTATTTCCCCCTTATGAAGAACCATTCCCCCTACAACACCCAAACTAACAACATCAATAAATTTCCACACACATTAACACACCAAATTTTGGATATCAAAATATAATAAAGTAACATTGACATTAACCTATCAACTGAACATCGAATGGACGAAGGCCGAGAACTCTCTTAGAAGCTTCTCTTACAACAGCAAAAGCTTCCTACAATACACCATAGCTTCCTTAGCCACAATCAACATCAACTTCATTTAAATTCCTATACTTAATTCAAGTTAATTAATAATAAAAAAAGCTAGACATACAGGCAAGAGAGAATCCAAGGACTCTCCGTTCTGAGCACGCTCCCGCAGTGCAAAAGTCCAGTCCCTAAGTTCAGAATCCGAAAGTTTAGAAATCTTCGGTTCCAATCCATTGATAGTGTTAACAGTTGCATTATATTGCTTCCTTGTAGCTTCTCCGGTATCGTTTCCTTTGAATATACCGCCTAACAAACCACCGAGCGAGGCAACCGGAGCCGATCGACGAGTCCTAATTCGGCGTGTTTTGGAAACGGAAGGTGAATTGAGAAAAAAGGAAGGTGGTAGGGTTAGGGTTTTGCGGTGGTGAAGACGAGAGTGTGGATTACATGTTCGGGAAGTGAAGGAGGAACAGAGAGAGGAAGTTGCCATGGTTTGGTAAGTTAGAATTGGGAGGGAAAATTGAAGAAATGGATTGTAGTGAGAGTTTTAAGTTGGGTTGGAAAAGAGCGTTTGGTTTTCATTCATGCTTTTGTCTTGGGTTGGGTTGTTAGTGGTGGCAAAGGAGATTGTGAGTTTTGAGTTTGCGGCAAAGAAGCGGAGGAGGGACGAAAGATAAGATAAGAAGAACTGTACACGGGTGCGTGGCGGAATCCAGACGTATATATACCTCGTGCTTAGCTGGATAAAAGTTATACTTAAATGCTCCTCGACTTTTTCAATTGCTCGGTTTTGGCACCTAAATTTTAATTATTTGATTTAACTCCTTAAAATTGTCAATTGTTTGATTTTAATTTGATATTTCTTTAATGACATGAAGATTTAATTTCTCTTTTTTTTTTTTTTTTTTTTTCTAATTTACTTCTCTATAATTCTATTTTTTCTTTCTTTTTAATAGTTAAGCTTTGAATGAGATATCTTAAAAATATTAATTATTTTCCATTCAATAATATTTAATGGTAAATTATCTTGACAACAAAAAAGATAGATCATTAGCTAATTAAAATAACATATTTTTTAGCCAATAACATGTGTGAACCTTTTTAAAAAGTTATTTTGGAATATAGGACAAGCCTATTGTTGGAAGTAATTCATATTCAAATGTTGTTGTTAGAATCAGAAGTTTTTGATATTTTACTCAAAAGTAGTAGAGCTTTTAAGGTTGTTAGCCAAAAGTTATAAGTTTCTGAGATTTCTTAGTTAGAAGCAATAGTTTGATATATTCAGAAGTTGTTATTAGTCAGAAACAAAAGATTCTGAGGTTGCATCCCATAAGTATGTTTAACTTCTGAAGTTGAGTTTGTTTTGTTTACTTAACGATTAAGTTTAGTTTGCTAGTTAACTTAGTTATTAAATTTACCTTTTGTTATGGTCTACGTGGCAATTTACTTTGTGTATAAATAGACTAGTGGTAACTGTCATTTTTAATCAATCTTTCTTACAAATTTTGTAGCTGTCATTGCAAAGCAATAAATATATATATCCTCACATTTTTAGTTCTTCATAACCTTGTGCACTAACAATTGATATCTAGAGCTCTGATTCGAATCTATAGGGAAACACGAGTGAAATAGTGAAGCGTTGTGTGATTGATTTCATTTCTTGAATTCATGTTGAATCTTGAATGGAATCGTAATAGAATCACATTTTCTGATTCTACGGGATTGGAAAATACTGTGTTTTGTGATATCTGAGTGACTTGCACAAGGTTGAAGATGAACGAAAATGGTAGTCTGAGCATCAAACTTCTAGTATTTGATAGCAAGAACTAGAATCGTGATGATTTAGATGCGTGTGTTGTTCGATGCTCAAGATGTTATTGAGCTTGTTACCAAAGTATATGTTCTGGTTGCAGCGAATGCGACAAGGAAACAGAGAAATACACAAAGAGATACAAGGAAGAAAGATCAAAAGGCGTTATTCTACATCCATCAGTACGTGGATGTGAATGTATTTAAGAAAATCATTGATTTGATGACGGCGAAGACTGCGGGGGACACACTGGTTATGTGTTACGGTGGTGACACATCAGTGAAGAAGGTGTAGCTTCAGTCTTTATAAAAGCAGTATGAGAACCTCAACATGAAGGACAACAAGAAGGTATTTGAGTATATCTTCCGAGTAATTTTGATCACTAATGAGATAAAAGCTTGTGGATAAACTCTTTCTGAACTAGTAATAATTGAGAAGATATTAAGGTCTCTTACTCCTCAATTTGATTACATTGTTGTAACAATTGAACATTATAGAGATTTAGACGCCATGAGAATATAAGAGCTGCAAAGAAATTTAGAGACGCAAGAGTTGCGTCTGATTGAAATAACTTCCGAGGGGGAAGTTGAGCAGGCTCTAAAAAACTTTTTTTGTCAAGAAGGACCAGAAGTAGAAAAGACATGGTAAGTCTTAGAAGTCAGAAGTCTTATATTCTGATGAGAAGAAACATCGGAAGGAAAAGGAGAAGAATGATAGGTGAATGGTTCAGTGTTACTGTTGTAATAGGTTTGGCCACTTTGCTAAAGATTGTTGGTCAAACAAAGAAGAAGTAAAAATAGCCAGAGGAGATTCAGATGATGAACTTATGATATTGATGGCTTATGAATCTAACAAGGAACCAGTGTGATTGTCATTTTTTTATTTTGAAGGGGAAGAAGAATATGAGTCAGAGTCAGAAGATTACTCTGAAGATTCTGAAGATGAGTCAAAATCTGAGGTTTTTGAAGATGAGTCAGAGTCAGAAGATGACTCTAAAGTTGAAGACAAGTTAGAATTTGAATATGATTCTAAGTCTGAAGAAGAATCAGAATATGAGCCAAAATCAGAAGGAGGTTTTGCTTCTGGAGATGAATTAGAACCTAAAAGTTCTGAAGATGAGCCAGAACTTGAAAGTTCTGAAGAAGAGCTAGAGTCAGAAGATGAAGAACCTATAAAGACTCTGAAGGTGAGTCAGATGGTGAATCTGATTTTGATCAAGATTTTGACGATGATCCAGAATCTGGTGGTGATCATGCTTGTAGAAGGGAAAACTCTGAAGACATAGGTTCTAGAGGATAAGCTTCTGAAGATGATCATGGTTATGGTGGTAATCATGACTCTAAAGGTGGAGCTTCTGAAGAAGGAGCTTCTAAAGGTAATCAAGTCTCTAACGATGGTCGTGTTTCTGAAGGTGGGACTTTTGAAGGTAAAGCTTCTGAAGGTGATCCAACTTCTAGAGGTGGTCAAGTATCTGATATTATTCTAGAATAAAAAGGAGATTCTGAACAAATTTGAGGATACAACGAATCAGATAATACCAAGGGTTCTTGCAGAGTTTAACAAGTTGCGAGATACTGAAGGGACTTTGAGGTATGGAGTGTTGTTCCCTTCAAGTGTTAGATCAGATGCATAATTGATATGTTATTCAGACTCTGGTGTGGAGACAGAGTTGACAGAAGAAGTACTTTTGGGTATTTCTTCAAATATTTGGGAAGTCTCATTTCTTTGTGCTCCAAGAAGCAATCGGTGGTTGCGTTGTCAACCTGTAAAGCTCTCAAGAAGAAAGTACGGTTGCAGGCCATGAAAGAAGAACTTGAGGCTATAGAAAGAAATAAGACTTGGGAGTTGACTAAGCTTTCAAAGGAAAAGAAAGCCATCAGTGTCAGATGGGTTTTCAAGGTGAAATCTGCATTTCTGAATGGAGTTGCACACTGTAGCATACAAAAGCAAATTACATATGTTTTAACGACATATGTCGAGACTGAACACTTTATCCATTTGAGGGATATAATTGGTGTTGTAGTTTTTGGTTAGATGAATGTGAATTAAGGGATGGTGTTGGAAGTAATTCATATTCAGAAGTTATTGTTAGAACTAGAGGCTTATGATGTTTTACTCAGAAGCAGTGTTGCTCAGAAGCAGTAGAGCTTTTGAGGCTGTTAGCCAGAAAATTGTAAGCTTTTGAGACTGCTTAGTTAGAAGAAGTAGTTTGATATATTCAGAAGTTGTTATTAGTCATAAGCAGAAGCTTCTGAGGTTGCATCCCAGAAGTATATTTAGCTTCTGAAGTTGAGTTTGTTTTGTTTACTTAACTATTAAGTTTAGTTTGCTAGTTAACTTAGTTATTAAATTTATCTTTTGTTAAGGCATGCGTGGCAATTTACTTTGTGTATAAATAGACTAGTGATAGATGTCATTTTTAATCAATCTTTCTTACAACTTTTATAACCGTCATTAGAGAGCAATAAATATATATTCTCTCATTTTTAGTTTTTCATTACCTTGTGCACTAACACCTACGATATCCCTTATAAAAAATTGAAATTTTATATGACCAATAAGATTGTTAGACTTTGAAACTTTATGATTAAATATGAGAGAGCTATTGGTTAAAGAGTTTGTTATTTTAATTAGCTAGTGGTCTATCTTTTTTGTTTTCAAAATATTTTTCTATTAGGCATATGTTGAATGAAATACTTAAGATTTTCAAAATATTACATTCAAAGTTTAACTATTAAAAGGGAAGAAAAATAGATTCATAGAAAATAAATTTTTATAAAAAAATAAAGAGAAAGTTTTTTATAAAAAAATTAGTCTACATACCATTAGGAATACAAAAGAAGACAAACTTAAAGAGACAAAATGAAGCAATTACAGCAACCAAAATCAAACAATTAAAATTTAGAAGACCAAAACTAAACAATTGAGAAATTTAAGGGAGTTAAAATTGTATTTAAACCTAAAAATTATAATCACATCACTTCAAAGTAAAATATTTTTCATTATTATTATGGTTTTGATGTGTGATTAATATTACAATTTTTATAATACATGTTTTTATATCTTTTATTTATTAAAAATTATATTAATTTACAAATCTTTTTTTTTTTTTAGAAAATGAAAGTATCCTTACTCATCACTTTCTTGTGTAAGCTTCGTATAGTTCTTTTTTATTGTGCGACTATTTTTTTTTGTTTAATTACAATTTTAGTTTTTCAATTAATCTTTTTTTTTATTTTTAATTTTGGTTCCTCAATTTTAAAATTTAGAATTTTAATCTTTTTTTTTTTTAGGATTTTAGTCTCCTTACCAATTCGAAGATAATTTTAATGATATAGCGCTTACATTGATGATGTGTCAATGCCAGTTAAACAATAAATTATTCAAATTTTTATTTAAGATTTATGTTGAATATATCATCAATTTGAGTTACATGTCATTAAAAATTACTCCTACCTTCAAATTTGCATGAGAACTAAAACCTTCAAAAAACTAAAATAAAAGGACTAAAATTTCGAATTTTAAAATAGAGAGATCAAAATAAAATAAAAAAAGATGATAGGAAGGCGAAAATTATAATTAAGTCTTTTTTTTTATTGCAAAAATTTATTTTTCAATAATATCAAGAGACATTTATAAATGTAGAGTAATTTTATGATGGAGTGGTGGTATTTATAGGA